TCTTTCAGAAACAAGCCGAAGCTTATATAAAACTGTTACCAATACGAATATTTACAGATGATAAAAGTAAAATTTACATAATATAGGAGTTGACAGCAGCGAAATGTACATTGGAAACAAAACAGGAAGTGACAAACATATTTACAAAAGGAAAGGGAATAGGGCCGAACAAATTCATTGGTGAATAAAATGTTATTGATAATGACAAATGAAAATAGTTGAGAGGGGATGAGGGTGATTATCGTTAATCAAAATAAAATAATCTTCGTTTTAAAACGGAGGCCATACTTCGACAGCGTTAGCTAGGTTGTCAAAACGTTTTGTAGATGATATAAAGTTATGAACAGTTTGAAAGATATACAGTTTGTTTCTAAAGATAATTTTGGATTGCCGTTAAGAAGTGTTAATATGCAACGTAAATGAATAGGGAGAAGATTAATTGTATTGTTTCGTTGTTTTGAAAAGTTGCGACAGTAGAGAAGAAAGTGTTCAGAATTTTCAAAGGTGTGGCCGCATGAACAGGATGGATTGTCGGATATGTGCATTAAGAATTTGTGAGCGTTTAGTTGACTTTCATAATGACGTAGTTTGGTATGTATTATTTGTGATGGACGGTCGCCAGAGTAGAAATATAATGGTACAGAGGATTTTGAAGTGAATTTTACAAGCAGGGATTTAAGCTGAGAGAGGGAAGAAGAATTACGTATTGAGTCGGGCAGATTGTTCCAGATTTGTACAGTAGATGGGAGAAAAGATGATTTGTAAGCTACAGTGTTCCATGGAATAGTGCGAAAATTGTGCTTTCTTCTGATGGGGTAAGGGTTTACAATCGAAATATGAGGTGGTACCAGAATTCTCAGATATTGAGGTGTTAAACCATTAATCATTTTATAAAATAGAGTTACTTTGTGACAAAAGCGACGATCGGTTAAACTTGAGAAGCCGGACTCTTTGTATAAAACTGAGTGGGAAGTTCCCCAAACAATATCAACTTCCGGTTTTATAGTTGTTAGCAATTTGAAATTTTAATGGCGTATATCTCTTGATCTTGACCTTTTTAGACCTTCTCCTTTACAGGATCAAAGGTCATTGACCTTGGCTATCTGCTGATACTTTCATTTGTGAGGTCTGACGTCCACTTCCGGTATTAGAATCTTCTAAAAAATGAAAATTTATCAACTTTACACTGTTCTTGCGCTTGATCTTATTATCGTCGAAGGTTGATTTTTTCAGGGTCTTTTGCATTTTG